ATAAGAGATTCAGGGTTAAAGCCCAAATAAGTTGCAAGCCTTCTTTACTCCTGAACCACCATGTGCATTACAGTTAGACATGCCTTTAAATACTTTCTCTCTTAGTGAAAATGTGCTTCCTCTCCGGCCCTCTTTGTTGAGTCCACACATCTTTGCTCAAGTATACTCGCACTGATTTGTACTAAGGAAAAGGGGGTGTAAATGACCAGGTATGCTAGATTACGGAGTAACCAGAGGAGTGTAGTCAGATTTCTACTGAACTGTGCACTTATATTTAGACACACTAATAATCACTATAACAGGAAAGTGGAGGCTGATGTTACTCAAACCGTCTCCAGTGAGCATGGTGGAGGGCACAGCTTGCCTCCTCAACCTCCGCAACATCTCCAAGATATGTCCTTCCTAACCATTGACCCCACAAAGCTTCCCTGGTCATCTCCCACCTTGACTACTGCAAATGCCTCCTCACTGACTTAGCTTTCCATAGGCTATCCCTCCTTCAGTCCATCATGAATGCTGCTGCCTGACTCATCCACCTTACCAACTGTTCAGTGTCTGCTACCCCTCTCTGCCAATCCCTCCCGCTCATCCAACTAATTAAATTCAAAACACAGCAATTTGTAAAGCTATCCACAAATCAGCCCCCAGCTACATCACTAACCTTGTCTCAAAATACCAACCAAGACCTCCTGCTCTCTAGCTCCCTTTTCACCTCCTCCCATGCTCGTCTCAGGACTTCTCCAGAGCTGCTCCAATCCTCTGAAACTCCCTTCCCCAATGTGTCCGACTATCTTCTACTCTGTCTACTGTTAGACAATCCCTGAAAACTCATCTCTTCAGAGAGGCCTATCTTGCCCCCAACTAACAACCGTACATGTATTTTCTCCATCAGCTCATCCCCCAACAGTTATTACCTTCTGTATCCTCCCTCTTAGATTGTAAGCTCTAACGAGCAGGGCCCTCTGATCCCTCCTGTATTAATTTGTATTGTAGTTGTACGGTCTGCCCTTATGTTGTAAAGAGCTGTGTAAAACAGTTGGCGCTATAAAAAATCCTGAATAATAATAATCTCCAGGCTGCTTTTCACACACAATTGCCATCATTACCTTTGTCCAACCAACTGGGCGGGTGGGGTGATCCATAAAAGTAGTAAAGCCTTCCTTGGGCCCCACCAAGCTTAACAACCTATGCCCCATCTCTTTTGTTGGTTTTTTAAAACTGCAACTTAAAGTAATGCCTGGTGGTCCTGCCATAAAGATCATTAATCATCCTGTTAGGAAGTGACAACTGTCTCCCAAATGTGCTCCTGCGTAGTCACCCTGCCACAGGCTTCCCTGGTGGATACTTCAAGCAGTAATGCCCACACATTATTATTATTATACAGGATTTATATAGCAACAACAGTTTGCTCAGCGCTTTACAATATAACAGGAGACAATACAGCAACAATTCAGTTCAATACAAGGATAGGAGGGCCCTGCTCCTTGGAGCTTACAATCTAAGAGCATGGTCCACTAATGCCGATCCAGACCCATGAATGTGCACCTGATGCTAGAGTGAGTGCATGTTGACAGGAAGTGGCTGAATGGGACTGGAGGTGATCAGCTGCATTGGGATGCTTAACAAGGTGAAACCAGTATTTTATGGAAAAAAAACAGTATTTTTGTGCTCACCGTAGAATCCTTTTCTCTGAGTTCACTGAAAGACACAGCAGACCTTCATGATGCTCCTGTAGGTGGCAAAATAAAACCCATCCATCATGAAGATCTGCTGGATGAAAGTATATGAATGAAATGGCCATAAACACACACTATGCATCCATAGTTAAGTCGTCTGCCTCTGTCTGGCCAGTTGGGTGCATCAAAGAGGAAGAAGAAATTAATGTATACTCTGACCATAGGGATTTCCATAATGTCTTCAATTTTTTAAACATTATAGTCAATGTTTCATAAAAAATACACTATATGACCAAATGTTTATTGACCTCCAAATTATTGAGCTCAGGTGTTTCCAGTGACAGGTACTGGTAATGCTACAGCGAACAATATTTTAGATATTTGTGCACTTCTTTTCAGGAAGGTCTTTTTCTGCTACAGGGTGACTATGCCCCTATGCACAAAGCTAGGTCCATAAAGACATGGTTCGACCAGTTGGGAAGGAATGGAAGATAAAATGGGATTTTTGTATTCATCGTAAAATGAGTTCATTGGAGGACACTGCAGATCTTCATCACCGATGGGTTTCATGTTGCAATCTGCAGGAGCATCTGTCATGAAGAGTTGCTGTGTTCTTCAATGAATGAAAGAGAAAAAAGGATTAAAATGATATCCAAATAGTGTACAAAGATTTTTTTTAAGTACCTGGATGGAAATGTGAGCTTTTTCTGAATGAGAAACTAGATGAAGAAAAATTCCTAGTAATGGAGCTAATCTTAGGACAACCCGCCATGACTTCTGAGATTATCATTCCTCTACTGAAGGAATGATAATCACTGAAGGACACAGCAGATGTTCATGGTGGATGGGTTTATGTCACCACCTGCAGGAGCATCTGTCATGAAGATCTTCTATGTCCTTCAATGAACAGAGGAGAAAAAAAAGGATTAAAATTACATCTATATAGGGTTCAAATAGTTTTTCTTTTCAATTACCTGAATAGAAATATGAGCTGTTGCTGAATAAGAAACCAGATGAAGAAAAAAGTCCCAGTAACTGAGCCAATCTTAGGACATCTAGCCTTGACTTCTGAGATTATCATCCCTGTACTGGAGCAGATGACAGCTTCTGATTCTTTTGTTGCACAGATCATAAAACAATTACCAAAGTACATTTTTTTTCCCCTAGAAATGACAAATCTTCTCACTCCTGTTGATGACATAAATAAGACACTCTTTGAAGAGCAAAGTATATGAATGAAATGGCCATAAACACACTATGCATCAATAGTTAAGTCTTCTGTCTCCATCTGGCCAGTTGGATGCATCAAAGACGAAGAAGAAATTAATGTATATTCTGATCATAGGGATTTCCATAATGTCTTCAAATTTTTAAACATTATAGTTAATGTTTCATAAAAACTATGCTATATGACCAAATATTTATTGACCTCCAAATTATTGAGCTCAGGTATTTCCAGTGAAAGGTACTGGTAATGCTACAGCGTACAAAGATATTTTAGATCTTTGTGCACTTTGTTTTGGGAAGGTCTTTTTCTGTTACAGGGTGACTATGCCCCAATGCACAAAGCTAGCTCCATAAAGACGTGGTTTGACCAGTTTGGTGTGGAGGAATGCCAGCGGTCTGCAAAGAGTTCTAACCTCAACCCTACTTAACACCAATTGTAAGCCAGGTCTTCTCATCCAACATCAGTACTTCAACTCTACTGAGCACCTTGGTGTTTACAGGGTGACTATACCCCTATGTACAAAGCTAGCTCCATAGAGGCATGGTTTAACCAGTTTGGTGTGGAGGAATGCCAGTGGTCTGCAAAGAGCTCTAAACTCAGCCCTATTGAACACCTTTCAGGTAGGTTGTGATGAATTGAAACGCCATTTGTAAGCCAGGTCTTCTCATCCAGCATCAGTACTTCAACTCTACTGAGCACCTTTGTGTTTACAGGGTGACTATACCCCTATGCACAAAGCTAGCTCCATAGAGGCATGGTTTAACCAGTTTGGTGTGGAGGAATGCCAGTGGTCTGCAAAGAGCTCTAAACTCAACCCTACTGAACAGCTTTCAGGTAGGTTGTGATGAATTGAAACGCTATTTGTAAGCCAGGTCTTCTCATCCAACATCAGTACCTCAACTCTCCTCAGCACCTTTGTGATGAATTGGAACTCTTACTGCTAACCAGGACTTCTCATCCATTATCAGTACCTCAACTCTACTGAACATCTTTGTGATGAACTGCAACTCCGAATGCAAGCTAGGTCTTCTCATCCAACATCGGTATCTCAACTCTGATGAACACCTTTGCGATAAACTGGAATTCCAAGTGCAACCTAGGTCTTCTCATCCATAATATATATTATGAACCTGGTCTTCTTGTTCATCATTAGTACCTGACCTTGCAAACACTCTTTTGGCTGAATGTCCATGAATTATCATATACACTCTCCAAAATCTTGTGGAAAGCCATCTCAGAAGAGTGGAGGCTGTTACCACTTCAATGGGGGGGGGGGGGGGGGGGGGGGGTAAATTCGGGGGAAATACCATCATAACGCCCATTGTTTTGGAATGGGATGACCAGATCCATAAATGTGATGGTCAGGTGTCCACAAATATTTGGCCATATAGTATACACTTCAATTCTAGATGATAGCATGGGTAAAACTACAGAAATGTTTCATCAGCAACTTTCAAGGTGGATCCATCTGCAGTAAATGCAGGAAGGCAGACATTCAGATGCGCTGTGGATTTTTCAAGTATCAGAGGTTGACATGAACTGCGATTTGAACACGGAATAGAAGTCACATTACAATAAATAATGAAAGCTACTGGAGAAATTCACTTAAGATTTGGCAACTACAAGATGGTTGTCCCCATACTGGCTCCAGTTGAACTGATATTTAATTATTTCATGTTTTTGAACTGAATCAAAAAATTCCAGTACATTCACCTTTAGTGAACACATCAGCTTGAAGTTGGCATATTCACTGCTATATGTCTTCAAGAATGAATCTACAGGCAGGTGTAGACTACGTACTGAACTACTTAACTTATCAGATTGCTCAACTGAGGCTCTGAACTGAACATTTTTACTGAATTCCTCAGAAAATGTCTTTCAATATATTTTCTCTACATAGAATTTAAAAAATAAATATTTCACAACTTGTCAGATTAAACATTGTATATATTTTTTGCATGTTCTTGCTTATTCAGTCTTTGGCATCAGCTCAGTTTTTTTTTTCCTTGTTATCATTCATAGTGGCTCGACTAGAAAATATCGGTCTGTTTACTTTTATTGTACAAACAAGGCCCCACTGCAATGTCCACTGGAGTTTAGTAGTTTTGTACTCTGCCGGCTAGGTGTGTTCGCTGGTGAGTCTTTAAGTGGTGGGACTGTACAAAGCTCTTGGAGCACAGCGTGCACTTGTATGGCCGTTCACCAGTATGAATCCTCTGATGAACCTTCAGGATGGAGTTTTTGATGAATTTTTTGCCACACACTGTGCATTGGTAAGGCTTCTCCCCTGTATGAACCCTCTGGTGGACCATTAGCTCATAGGGCTGCCGGAAAGTCTTTATGCAGTGACGGCAGTGGTACGGCCGTCCGCCAGTGTGGCCGATCTGGTGTCGGAGGAAACGTGAGAGATCCGAGAAGGTTTTAGCACATTCACTGCACTGGTATGGGCGGTCCCTCCTGTGCTGGGGAAGAGGTGACAAGATCCCCACGTGACTGTGCCATCCATTCCATCGATAGAATGAGCCATCCAAGATGTACTCTGTGCCTGGAACTTCTTCTAACTCTGAGACTGCTTTCCGATTCTCTGTAGGATACAGAATGCAGCAACCAACAGTTACCTTAAGACTTTATATCTATTTAAATGAGAAAATAAGCATACAAAGACAAATTGTGTAAGTTCTTTTTCAATTTCTCCTTTACTCGCTGGAAGTCAAAGCACAGTATTCTGCCATCTACAGGTTTGACAAATCAACAGAGGGACTAGCTCTTTCTATTGATAACACCCCCTACACCTGCTCAAAGGCTTACCTACTCAGCTGAGCATTCTGAGGAGTTTTGTGGCATTAGACCTCAGGATCCTCTATTTTGTGTCAATACTCACTCTTCTAGGAAGCTGAGTGCTTCCTGGGTCCTCTGTCACCCTGCTTCAATCTTACCCCATGCTTGTGTTGGGTTCTTCCAAGACTCTTGCCTTGTTGGGTGTCCTTGCCAGCCCCTTTATTTTTGGACTGCTTTCTGACCCCTCACACTTAGGGCCCATTCACATTTTTGCAGTGCTCTGTGTTAAGGCAGGTTCTTAAAATTAATAGTTTGCCAATGCACCATGACATGGCGAAAATTGGACAGGATCCTCTTTTCGAAGGTGCATTGCTTTAGTGAGCTGGGGCGGCATTCAAAGTGCAGAAGTGTAAATGGGCCCATAAAGAATGACTATTCTGCATCCTCCAATGAATGGAGAAAACTATTTTATGTACTCACCTGAAAAAAAAAAAAACTCTTTGGTATTTGTTGGAGGTTACAGCTCATACCCCTCTATTGGTGCTCATTTTTTGTTAGTCTTTTGCTATGATTAGGTTGAATTGTATTGGCAAGGATGTTCTTACCTTCCTTACTAGTTCTCACTGATCTTTAGAGCAGGTGTAGGGGTACAGCTATTAGAGGAAACTGGCTCCTTTTTGATTTCAATAGTGCTCACTACCACACAGGTAGAGATTACTGTACTATGCCAAAATAATTCTATATAGTAGTTGATACAAGGGTCACGTAGCATTGTGGGTTGTTTAAAGCCCAACTCCAGGAAACCTAAAAACCGTCCCTTGCAGCGGGGCTGCACCCACAATGCAAGGGCTGACTGTCTAGGGGATGGAAAAAAACTGTTGTACTTACCCGATCCTCTGTTCCTCTGGCAGCTGACACTCACCCTTGTTCCTTGGCATCCTCACATCCAAAGAAGGGTTATGGTCTCCACGTTGGTCTTGGTAAGATCAGAGAACCTTAGACCGCTGGAACATGGGGGCAAAGAGGCTGCAGCGACCTGTCTAGCAGCATGCAGGAGCAGAGGATCAGGTAAGTAAAAGTGTCCCCTAAATATAAGGGAGTAGTTGACCCTTGAGGTGCAGCAGCAGCCCCCCCCCACTGCGAGAGATTTTTTTTTGATTTCTTGGAATTCAGCAATAAATAGAGAAGGCAGAAGAAGCTGTTTGCCTTCAGACTCTCTTTCTAACTGAAATCTCTAAATCAGGAGCAGGAATCTCTCTTCTGACTTAATTACTTGTTTGTGTAAATTGGAGTTTGAACTTAAAATGTTAGTCTATGTTTTTTTTTTTTTTAAAAATTAAAAGGTGAACGCCCTACCCTTTCGCAACCTTTTTACCCCAGAAGAACCCTTGAAAGATCTCATGGAACCCCTGCTAAACTTAATTCACCTAGGGTCAATGAGATGCATGCCCCTTTACCGAGGTGTTAAGAATGCCACCCTTAAAGACAGCTAAAAAGATCATTGGGTTCATGTCACTGCCTCTGCAAGGCCACCAGGAAACGGGAGGTCAATCAGCCACAGCTCAAGGAACCCCTAGCAACATCTGCAGGAACCCTGGTTGAGAATAACTGCCCTACCCCTTCCCAGTCCCTGCTGTACTTACCTCCTGTGGGTGATGCACTGTTAGTGCCTACACAGAGGATTTAAAAACCCTGCTTGTCTCCTCTTCCTTCTGCAGGGCTTCTGGAACAGATCAGATCACTTCTGATTGGTCCGTGCTATAAGTGTTGACCAATCAGAAGTGCTCCAGGGTGTAGGGTATTAATTTACCATTTCATTTTTTCTGAGAAAGTGAACTAACTCTTCAAACCAATTTATTTTTTCAAAAAGGCTAGGGCTCATTGTAAAGATGGTGGCTGTAAATGTAATCAGCTACAAAAAATTCTAAAAAGTAATTTTTAAAGTTTTCTGGAAAAGCCAAATGCAAGTTGATAATCTCCTTTTGGAAACATTAGTCAAATGCCAACACTTAATGGCAGTGCCAACCTGCTGTATTGTGTTAGATTTTTGTCAATACACTTCCAGCACAACTCTCTGTAGTATTATATTGTGTGCCCAGGTCAGCGGGATGACGTCACCACAGGGGGTGTGTCTATGACATCCTGGGCTCACAGAAAGTGGGTTAAATGATGCTGAGGGTCATTCATCCCAGAGGAGAACCAGTACTGGACCTCGGTGTGGTGAATCTGAGGGGTTAGCTCTGGTGAGGAGTTTAGTACCACAGCAAGACCTGATTTTTTAATTGTAATGCTGCTGGGGAGAATATTTCGAAAAGTAGTTAAACAATACTAGAATTCTTTTTATTTTGTCTGTACAAATATGCTTCTAGTTGATTCCAAAACTTTTTGACTTTTTGGGAAATCGGTTTATTACTCAACATACACATCTATTATTCTGAGCACGACTTGTCGATTGCTCACCATAGATCAGGTGTCAGAGCCTGGGTCTGAACCTGGGCCTTCTGCGGTGAGTGGCAATATTTCTTCTTGCTGAGCCACCTGGAATGCTGGACAGCTCACTTCACAATTATTTGGATGATCCTACCTTGACCTTGTTTGTCATGAACCTTGGACCCCTTGCTCCTCCCATGAACTTCCTGATATAAGCCATGTCTCTGTACTTTCTGTTTGCCAGAGTATTGTGCTTTCCAGCCAGTATCGTGCTCCTTGCCATCTCTGTTATTATCCATATTTTGCTACCACTCTTTATTGACCTTGGCTTGTTCTCGACTACGCTTCTGCCCGATCCCAACCTGCGACTGCTCATTACCGACCTTGGCTTGTTCTCGACTACGCTTCTGCCCGATCCCAACCTGCGACTGCTCCTTACCGACCTTGGCTTGTTCTCGACTACGCTTCTGCCCAATCCCAACCTGCGACTGCTCCTTACCGACCTTAGCTTGTTCTCGACTACGCTTCTGCCCAATCCCAACCTGCGACTGCTCTTTACCGACCTTGGCTTGTTCTCGACTACGCTTCTGCCCAATCCCAACCTGCGACTGCTCATTACCGACCTTAGCTTGTTCTCGACTACGCTTCTGCCCAATCCCAACCTGCGACTGCTCATTACCGACCTTGGCTTGTTCTCGACTACGCTTCTGCCCAATCCCAACCTGCGACTGCTCATTACCGACCTTGGCTTGTTCTCGACTACGCTTCTGCCCGATCCCAACCTGCGACTGCTCATTACCGACCTTGGCTTGTTCTCGACTACGCTTCTGCCCAATCCCAACCTGTGACTGCTCCTTACCGACCTTAGCTTGTTCTCGACTACGCTTCTGCCTGAATTCCAACCTGCGACTGCTCATTTACCGACCTTGGCTTGTTCTCGACTACACTTCTGCCTGATCCCAACCTGCGACTGCTCATTACCGACCTTGGCTTGTTTACTGACCACGCTTCCGTTTGATCTTTACCTGCTTATACACTACTGGACCTCTGCTTGCTCACCTCCTGGTGGGGTGATCCTGAAGACCGCGACCTGGTGCTAACACGCAGCAAAATCCATCTCCACCATCAGGAGCTCTGGTGAACACCGGTTGGTACTTAGACTCCGTGCCTCGGGTGATCCCACTCCTCCGCCATGGTGACCTGCCTGTGTACCTATCCTGCTGGTTTCAAGTGAGCCTTTCCACTGCTATAGCAACTGGTCTTCGAGCCTGACCCCTGATCGTGACACCAGGGTTTCTCAACCAGGATTCCTCTAAAAGGTGGCTAGAGGTTCCTTGAGCAATGAGCAAGTTCTGCCTCTCAGACAAGTTCCCACTGACACCAATGATCTTGATCTATCTTTAAGGGAGTAATTCTTCCCAATAGCCACAAGTGTAAGGAGCATTCTTCCCACTGACCACCACACTAATGGGCCATGAGCTGTAGATATAGTAATGTTTAGCAGGGGTTCCCTTAGACCGGAAAGTAATTTCAAGGGTTCCTGTGTGTTGAAAAAGTTGAGAAAGGCTGCCATAGACAATATAAAGGGACATTATAAATAGGGAAACCTGGGCGCTAGTCACCATTTTTCAAACTGCACCCCATACACAGTAATTCTGAGGCAAGACTGTAGTGAATCTCTATGTATGTAGTAGGAATTATCATCATTCTCTATGCACGGCCAACCTCAGACTGAATGTCCTAGTAGCCAAAATTACAGGTGATTGTATTGGGCTTTTTTTTATATTGTATTGACGGTAAAGTAAAATTGGAACCTATAGTTTACATCAACCTTGGCATTGTGTTGGCTGTTACCTTGGTTGGAACGTTCACTTGTCTCGGCTGCCCGGTTTGTCCACATTTCCGTCATCTCTTGGAGCCTCATGGCTACGTCACTGTCTAGAGAGAGGTGTTCAGAATCAGACATACAATATGTCCAATGACAGGCCAGACATATAGAATATAAATACGCTGAAGACTTGGAGCTGTATAGAAGGCTGCGCTGTATTGCCCAAAACAAGGTGGACAACATTGTCCTCTACTGGTAAGGACCCCTTCACTTCCTATCCCGTAGGCACAACAGGAAGTAAGAAGAACTCTTTTTAATGTCACTGATACACGCATCCCATTGGAAGATTTCCCCTCTATTCCTGTTTTGATGTGAACTGTAAAATGTTGTATTTCCCATCACTTTCAGTTATGAGATTATTATTATTATTATACAGGATTTATATAGCGCCAACAGTTTGCTCACCGCTCTACA